GTGAACTTAACCTGCTTCTCCTTTCCTCCCTCCCCACCATGCACTCCCAACGCAGTCAATTACCGAGATGGGGCTGTGACTGATGGTGCTGCAGGAGGCCCACTCAGAGGCCCTTGGTTCAATAATGATAAATGTTCTCCTTAGCAATCCTCACATGATTTTGTCGGTCAGTCGGCCTCTAACGCTCGCTAAGAACACAGATAATCTGTCAAGTTATTGATCGCAAAAGGCAGATACATTTCAGCAAAGAACCACAATCAATAACACAGCTGTGCGAGGACAATATAAAAGTGTTTAATCATAAATAATTGAATCAGACGATCCCAGACACGCTGTTCATGTCAGCATCATTGATGGATATGGGGATTAAACTGAGTGTTTGGGGATGACTTGATATTTTGGGTTTAATTATGCCCTGGAGAGGAGACTCTTCATAGGTTGGCATCATACGTTGTTCGTCTCTTTTCTCCTCGATGCATCAGTTAACTGCGTCTACAGAAACACATCTGGGTCTCCTAAACCTTCCCCCAGCAGCTCACCACATTATGCATCACACACGCACACGCACGCGCGCACACACACACACAAACACATATCCTCTTCAGTACATTCATTTAAAACAAATCACATCTGCATTGACAACAAGTTGTTTCTGTTGATTCCAGCATCAGTGTGCAATAAACCTAGAAGACCTTATATTTCCAAACATTAAAGACATAATTTTGAGACATTATGTGCTCAGTTGTGATTTAGTTTGATGTTGGATGAGAAGATGTTCATGTCTATACAGTAAACATCTAGGTATGATCAGCTGACAGTTAGTATAGCTCAGCATGAAGACTGGAAACAGCTTACCAGGGTCAGTCCAGAGGTATAAAATCTGCCTGTTCACCAAACTCCAAGACGTATGTGGTTTGTTAAGTAATGAAACTGTTAAATGATGATAGTTTTTTCTTTTTCAATGTGCTGACAGGATTAGACTGAGTTATGCCAGCTGTTTGCATCTGTTTCCAGACTGCATGTCATGCCAATGTATCTGACCAGTGCAGTGGTCTCATGTAGATATGTGAGAGTGGTCCAACTATTTCTTTAACTTCTCAAACACATCCCCATCCTTACTACAACCGAACTACATGCTATATGCTGCAATATGCCCCAGTATTTAAATGTAGAGGCCTGGACTTCAGACTCTGTTATTCATCAGCATCCTGCCCCCTTATACCTGATACACTAATTGGATGAGGCAAATGCAACGACATTCATCATATTCAGGAGGACCAACCATAAAGGGCAAAGAGGGGCTGATAAAAGAGGGAGAGACAGGCAGGGAGACACTGTGTACAAGCCAGCAGCCTCTGGTAAAGGGACTGACGCACAAAGGAAATCAAAGAAAAGGGTAGAAATAGTACAGTACAACTTACACAGTACATTAAACAGCTCTTTGTATCTGTGGTGTATTTTAACCTCTAGACAGGTGAACCCTGCAGCAATGATGACAAATGGCATACAGTGATAAGATACTGAAATCCCAAAGCTGGCTGCAAATGGGCGTATTCCATTCTGAGCTGCAGCCCCATGAAAACACACATAAACAGTAAACACACATAGACTTATAGGTGAGTTGTGTAGGACCCAATAAGTTACACAAGGACCCTGCTGCCCCCTCCTGTCAAAACAGGTGTCAGTCAGAAAGAGGATGATGCAGAATTATCCTTGGTCACAAAAAGAGAAGAGAAAGAAATAAACACCATGATCAGGTAAACGTGTGCCCTCTCGTCTATATGTTTGATGTCAACAAATAACATCGATGGTGGGTCTCTCTGTCTCATTAACCAAGCGGGGCAGTAGGCCACATGTCCAGGACTGTGTCTGTGACTTTGTGCTTGACAAATGTGAGAGTGAAAAACAGCTATTAAATAGGTTTGATAAACGATGATGGGCAGTGGTGTCTATAGACTTCAGCTTGGAAAAGTATATAATGTGTGGAAAGAAGATGTGTGGGCATGAAACAAAATGCTTCCAAGCAGCAATGTCTGTGGGGACCAGTCCAGACGATATGGCCTCTCAGTCAGAGTTGTCCATCTTAGAAACAGTCTATGGTTATATGGATTCACATCTCTCACTAAATAATAACATTCCAATATTCAGCCAAGCCAGAGCCTTTTGAAAATGCTTTACATGGCTCATAGATCAGGTTGGGAGACCTTTAACAGATTTTTTCTTAGGGTGCCAGGGAGGTCAATAAGCAGCTTTGAGCAAACAGCATAAGCTTTCATTCAGGTGAAAAGAATCCCTAGTTTAATGTGTCTAGTAAGTCAAAGGAGTCAAGGCTGCAAACATGCAATGAGCATCTCTTGAATCTCAGGTGTTTGAGAGCAGCCTATTTCCACCCTCCTCCAGGTCCTGGTGAGTGGAGACGTTACATTCATTAGAGGAGAGAACAGTCAAGAGCCTGGCCGACAAATGACCTTGGCCCTTAATACCTTTCCAGTAAATGTATGGTGTGTTTGTGTGTGTGGGTGGGTGGGTGTTTGTTTAAGACACTATAATGTGCTATTAAAGGAGTGGGGCTGCTATTCTATATAGTGTTGAGTTAAAACATGATGTATCTAATTCCTCCATTGCTGTACGAGCACTATCACAATATTTAGTCACAGTTTTTGTGGGTGACGTGTTCCTGGGCACTGAGATTTACTGTCAGTCCCACATACGCCATCCTGCTGCCAGAAATACTCCACAGCTGAAAATAGAGCCAAACAAATGCTCTTTTTACTGCTTTTTGAGTCCCGATGGATAAAAACTACAGTACCCAGATGTTTTCAAGAAATGACTTTTTTTTTAAACAAATAAATTTAATTTTGATCAATTCAAGGATATACCTAGCCTATACCTAAAATGCTCCCCCTGCAACCCTCAAAGGATAAGATGTATAGATACTGGATGGATGTTAGTTTTAGTTTTTTCTTAAAGTATTTGTGGACAATGAGTAAAATGAATAAAAACAGGCTCATAATTTAAACAATACATACAGTAAAACAACATTCACAATAAGTCTGATATACATCATGTATAAAGACATTTTTTAAATCAGTGCATGTGTTACAAAGCAATGCAATAAACCAAGACAAAAGGGGGAGGGGTATAATGTCTGTTTCCATTCATACTCTGTTTCCTTTGTACTATATTTTTTGCAGCTGAAGATCATTTGAGGATAGTTCTTGCTATGTATAAAATCAAATTTATTCTGTGAGATATTAACAAACTGTGTTTCTTCTGTATATCTTGAGAAAGATTGTAGGAGCTGTGTGAATTACCCAGAGTACTTCTGGGGGGGAAACAACATTCTGCAGAGAGAGAAAGAGAGAGACAGAAAGCTCCTCTAAGTATCATGAGTCATATGTTGATGTTACATCATCGGTCTGGGGCACAAACAGGTATGACCTAGCTGCTACACTCTGGATAGTTATGTTGAGGGGAGTCTAATTAAAACACCTTTGACTTCACCCACTGCTGTTATGAGCATTAAGCCCAGCGTCGTTGGACTGTCTGAGATCTCTGACGGAAATCAGTTATTTTCAACAACACTGCAACATTCTGTGACGCATCATCGGGGACGTGTTTGCTGCTGTCTGTCTGTAGAGCTCAGGATTCTCTCTGTCTCCGTCACACAATGAATCATTGATGGCGTTTTAGAGAAATAACTGAGCAGTGATTATTATTGCAGAGGGCAACGGGGAATGTGTGCGAGTCCCTGACAGTTCACCACGTGCGTGAGCTGGCAGTGTTCCCCCCGTCTTCTCCTGAGAAAGAAAGACAACGTTCCAGTGCTGCAACCGTGGAGCCAAGATGGCCATTGCAATGCCCACTGCTGCCCACAGCTGCCAGTCACTTGTCCGCTTTTAAGCCCATCTTTTTTTCTTTTTTTTTTGCAAAGTGAAGGCTGATGATGAGGGATGCTGTGTGCAGACCACCGCTGTGCGTCCCTGTGCCACCCAGACTCCATGAGGCAGCGTCCTCAGTGCCCTGGAATGCTGTCCAACGTCCTTGTTCAATGAAGAGTGTTAAAGCCTGAGAGTTTTTGCCGGTGTGTAGTGAATCTGAGAACTTACATGCTCCCTGATTATAACGTGAGTAACTCTGGGTGAATGAATATGCAGCATCCTGCTGAGACAAAGAATAAAGGTGTTTGCGTCACGCGATTCTTTGCACCAGCACTGTTAGAGCTGAACAAGCAGTATACCTGTGTTGACTGTCCTCCAGCCGCTGCTAGTCTGCAAAAGGATTAAAAAATAATACAGAATCAGTACAGATATTCAGATATTCATAGGGACAATTATTTAACACATTTTTACCTCTGCTTTCTCTGTCTCAATGTAAACACTGTTCTCAAAAACACCCACGCACACAGGACAGGACAATAAATTCATTATTTTATTTAACCAAGATGAGCACAAGTACAAACATGACATCACAACAGAAGTAAGCTATGAGTGATGACAATGAAATGAGCAGAGTTGCTTTCTGTTTTTCTTGCTATAGTCAAGTGAGCTGTTATTTGTTATTTGAGGTGTTTGGGCACATTTGCCTTTTTCTTTTTCCTATACCGCAACACCTCAAATACACAAGCATCACATTTTACACCACTGGGCTTTTGCATTAGTCTTTTCTGTTTGAGCTTGTGTGAGACGTCTTGGCTGTCATACATTTCTCTGTTAGAAAGGCGGTTACATAAAAGAATGAAGTCCACTGTACTCTGTGTTTGTTCAAAAATAAATGTACTGTTAGTGAAATAACTGAACACAAAAACACTTCAAACAAACATCTCATATAAATAAAATAGGAAAATGAAATTATATTAAGATATTTTTCCATGGTGAATGGAACTATGTTCATCTCCACAGATGTGAGAACCCAATCTAATAAAGAGGATGCTCCTCATTAAGATTTCGTCAAATATAAAGGTCAGAGAAAACTGAAGGCGCTGTAGGCGACATGTGGTTTCATGGGGTGCTGCCTCGGCCACCAGGGATTATTCCTCTCCATTCGCCCCAAGCTGCTTCAGTCACTGTCAGAGGTACCATCTTAATATAGCCTACACTTTATCAGACCAAACATGTCTTCAGTTATCAGTTGACAGAACATGGGAGTCACATGTGTTGAAGATACATTACCTTTATGTGTGGACTTGGACTGACTGGAAGCCACAGTGGTCATGTCTGTGGGTAGACCCACGTACACACCACCATAGTTCCTGAGAAGAGAGGACTTATGTTATGTTGGTTTTACCTCTGCCAAGGAGGTTCTGTTTTCATAAGGTTTCACACAACTGGACAGATCACCAGTGTATGCATTTGGAATGAGTCAGGAAATAAAATTTTAAATTTTGATGCACATCTTGATCTGGGGGCAGACAAAGATTTTTAAAATTGAGAGAGTTTTCTGAGAGAATAATTCATGGATCTTTATGAAAAGAAATCGGACATGTTTAGGTATAAAATGTGGTGCAGATCCAAATAAAAATCTGGATCTGGTGAATTTCAAGGGGACTGCATTCACTATAATCTCCGTGGATAAAGAGAGCGAGCTCCATGCACTTATTTTCACAGTCTATCCATCCTCTTTGAAACAAAGTTTTAAAGTGAAACTCAGTTTCAAAATAGATAATTCCACTGATTTATAAGCAGTTATTCCTTGACATTTAAAATAATTGGCAACAGTGGTGATAACAATGGTAATGTAGAAAAACCTATATTTCTTGGTAAAATAAAAAGTGTTGCGAGTAACAAACAAAAAGTTGAGAGCAAGTTGAAACAATTCAAATTTTTTATTTTATTTCTACCTTTGCTTTTCCTTCTGTGACATATCGAGATAAATGTGACACGCCAATGAAAAAATATCACATTGATGTACCATAAAAACAATGCAATTGTTTATATTGCATAAGTTCAATGATTATTCTAGATGAAAGATGCACACAATAAATTATAGAAATGTAATAAAGTACCTTCTTTTCTCATCTTCTACCGCGGGATCTTCTGTCCTGATAGAGAGAAGAAGCACGGGTCAGGTCAGCTCAATAAAAATTCACAAACAAAGAAAGTCATGAGACGCAGATTGTAAAGATTGTAAACACTGAACTGTGGAGGCAAAGTCACATGTCTGCCAAATATTTGAGGTACGCTTCATTAGCCCTGTAGGGAATACAGCTCATTCTGTTCGGGGAAATCTCAACTGCAAAATTTCATGGAAGCTGAAGACTGAACAACCAGTTTCCAATTACCTCATTTTTTTAATTCTCGTTATTGTTTGCTCATTTTTCAAGAACTGCTTTCACCATATTAGACTACCTGTGTGTGTGTGTGTGTGTGTGTTTTGCTGTGCACTACAGTCCTCAGAAGAAGTGATTAGCCTCAGTGAGTCAGTCATGTACTGCTGTCAGCTCTCATGGGTCCAGTGCTGGCTGCTCAGATGGTTATCAAGAAGTGCACGCACGCACGCACGCACGCACGCGCGCGCACACACACACACACACACACACACTGATTCCAGGAAATGCTTTGGCGATGCTGCTCCTCCCAAAGCTTTGATAGACACTAATGTAAAATTTCTTAAGGACACAGAAAAACAGAAGCAGAAACAACTTTTTTTTAAACTAAAAGAATAGTTTAACACTTTCATGTTTTCATATACATTGCTTTCTTTTAAAGTCAATATCCTTTCTCACACTGAATATTATAGTGTGGTGGATTTTTGAAGGAGGGAGATGAAAATGAAGCCTGTATTCTGTAACCCTCAGGCTGATGACATAAACAAAAACTTATTGGAGTCAGGAGTTATCAAACCTTCACTAATGAAACCAGAGGTTTGAGGTTAGAGCTACTTTCCCTTAGAGAAACATGTTCAAATGAAGCATCTTCTGATGTGAAACACATTTCACAAAGACTTACAATCAAGAGTTGCTGATTTCTAAGAAGCTGGAAATGCAGACAAAATGCGTTTCAAGGAGTTCATTTGATTTTCATCAGGACACAGTTAATAGACAGTTAGTGGCTGCGATCAGTGAGATAAGTGAGTGCCAGTGAAAGGCCTGAAGGAATCATTGGAGCTGGATAACCTCTCTGTTTATGCACTGTTGTGTTACAGCATTAGTGTCCATGGCAGGAAACCACAGAGGAAGCTACTACTCTCCAGCGTCACATTCTGTACATACCCAAAGATGGCAAAAGACACTTTGAGACTCAAGAATGATGGAAAAATGTTCTGAATGTTTTGTCCACTTATCTGTTTTGTGAAGGTGTAGTGTGTGATGCAAACGCACAAAGTCTGGAGGCCATAGGGGCATCATGTGTACCTGAAATCATTAGAAAACCACTGATGTACTTACACTTCTTTGGAGGCTTCTGCTGGACCTGAAAACAGATGAAAAGACAAGATTTAATTTATACTGTGTGTATCTGTTACCTCACTAATAATTAATCCCTGTGTGTTTACTTCATGGACCAGGCAGCTGTTTCCTTCCAAAACCACCTTTCAGGAGACACAGACATATACACGCAAATAAAAGAGCCAGCCACAGCTACATAACACATCACACTTCAACACAGTCTGCCTTTACACTGTTTAAGAACAGCTAACTCACTGGAAATACTCGGTTATTTGGTTATAAAGTGAAGGTGGAGACCCTCAGGCTGGCAGTGATCTAAAATAAGTTTAAAATAGAATAACATTCAATGTCTATTCAGGCTTGGTCATGTACAAAATGTACAACGTTGTTTATTAGTCATTGGATTTAACTTCCAAAAGCAAATTTAAAGCGGAGTGATAAGCTGAGTTATATTTGATATTTTAATATTTGAGTCGACAGTAGCTTAAAGCAAGAACATTTTATCAGTCATATTACTACATTAGACATGAAACATTACTATATTATTTATCACTTTATCAAAGTGCCTTTGTTGCCTAAATTTACATTTATTACGTGCGAACCCCATTATCAAAGTTCAGCACTTAATATTTCCCTATAATCCATCCTGACCACCATATCTACAAATGAACAAGAAAACATATTAACATATATTCAAATAGCACAAAACACTAACAATGTTCAGCCAAAATAAATATTAAAATGTATATGCAGGTTTAATGCTTCATTGGAATATCTTTGGGATAATTTGCATAACTCAAGTCCATTTGAGTGATAACATTTGCTTTGTATATCCACTAATAGTCGTCAATATGAAGACCACTAATACTCAATCAGTTGGCTTTTATTTTTTAGTTTCCTCAGCCTTTAGAGGGTAACAGAGGACATGTTGCTGTAAATGCATTGAGTATAAAATGCCTGGATTCAAAAAGCTCACACTTTGTGTCGACCCTTTTTTAAATACACTGACGTGCAGCATTTTAAATGTAGAGAATCTACATTACGCAGCTAATTTTGTCCTTGTGAAAGGAATTGAGAGTTGTGTTTCTTTTCTCGTTAAGGTTTGAGTCTGCTGACATGACACAGGGGCCATTCAGCGGCCAAACAAGAGCTCATTCATTTCCTACGGAGCACATCTGGCTGCATAAGACTGGGGATGAGCAATGTGATATATACGGTGCATTGAGACTGTCGTTGAGAGTTTGGTAATGACCATAGATTAAAATTGGAACATTCTTGTGTGACTCCACTTGAAAGCTGAATCCTGAATGACTTTGGTTGTGGTTTTGATTTGGACAATGCCTGGGAGCAAAACATTTGAAATGAATAGTAACATTTTACTTTAACCTTTCCTCTGTGACATTTGCAAAACATTTAGTAAGTGTGTTACAACAAATACTGTAATTCAGACATTTTAAGTGTTAACTGTTGAATACATTAATGAAGATGTAAAGGTTCAGTGTGTAAGATTTAGGTGAAATGGATCTTTTGGCAGAAGTTGGATATAAAATAATCTTAGTGATGTTTTAACTAGTGGGTGATCGTCTAAATTGTATGAATTGTTGTTTTCTTCGTGCTTTACATTTAAATACTTTATATTTACATCGAGAGTTGGTCTACAGAGGTCACAAGATTTGTTTTACAGTCATCCAGACTGGACAAACTAATCGCCTGATGAGTTTTTATGACAACTGAAGCTACCTCCATGTTTGGAAGGAGAGGGTGAGTTAATGGTAATCAGCTGCAACATGCAACTTTACCACTAGATATCATTACATTCTACACACTGAACCTTTAAATCAGCCAACTCTGTTATAAAGTAATTATTTAACATTCATATACTGCTTATCAATGCAAAATGAGGGAGGATAATCTAAAGTGTTGCACAAATATTAATATATATATATATATATATATATATATATATAAATCAATCTAAAAAATGAACTTATATCGACATAAAACTACAACAGGAGTTGTTGATGAATACATAAACATATAACATATACATACATATAATGTGTTATAAAGTGTTAATTACATGTATGTGTGGTGCTTTTAAATGCTTAATATAAGTTGAAATAAAGTGTTAGGGTAACATATTACTATTTTAATATTTGAAATGTATTTTTTATGATTGAAGGTAAAACACTGTAAATGAATATATGGACATTTTATGTGTTTAAATACAGTAAATACATTTTCAATAATTAGAACTTCACCTGTGAAGACATTTTATATTGTTAGAACTGTGTTCCTATTAGCAATGTTCCCTCTACTTTGGTGTCCACAACAGGTGTCATAGTTATAAACATTTACCACTAGTGTTCATAATGTGCTTTATACAGGAAATGAAATGTGTTAAACAAAATTAAACTGCAAATGTGTAGAAACAATTATACTTAAAATAGTATAAATATGAGTAAGATCGATGAGAGGGCATCCACTGGCTTTAGCATATTGTCAGCTTGTACAAACAAATGAGAGCAGCCACTGGTCCATGTTTGTCAAAGTGACAGGATGTCACATGTCCTTGACATTGTGCTGAACGCTGACCTCTACTAAAGAGCAGAAAATGGATAAGGCCTGCTGCACTGAAATAAACACAGCTGCCGACCCTCATAAACAAGCCACACTCACAACAAAACAACAAAAGGATGTTGTCTGCAGACAATTTAACGAAGAGCAAATTTAAACCAAAAGGCAACAACTGGTCTGTTTCAGTAGTTTGTCTGTGGCTTCCTGCTTTGTGAATGATTCTGTACCTGCAAGCACACACCGTGCTGAATTAAATGGCAGTCGTGGTGAGATGACCCTGCTGACACTTAAATCTAATTTTTACCTCATTTGGACCATAGTGTCCAGAGATTTACTCTGCATAATTTAAAACAGGAAGCCTATTGTATCAGTCTGAATCAAAAGAGTGATGTGTTATTTAAGGACAAGTCACAATTAAGCAGGATATCTGGATGAGTGTTTGTATAAGCATCCACTCAGTTGTGTTCTCCAGGCTTTATGAATGAAAGCTGGCTATTTGATCGAGAGTATTTCAAAGACAAATGCTTCCAGGCACAACTAGCATCAGTGAAGAGGGGGGAACAAAAAGAGCATGAATGTCAGTGTAACTGTTGGTCTTTCATCCTCAGAATCCATGGAAACCGACACAAACACACAAAGAGAAAGAGAAACACATGAAGAAAAAAAGACCAATGAGGGACTTGCTTTTGTATCAATGTAGACATTGTAATTACAGTATCATTGTCACCATCATTAGCAGATTAACACATTCCTGAGGCTGCTCTGGTGTCTCAGAACATGGGAGACCCTTCAGGTTTGACCCAGCATTCGTGACTGAGGAGACCACCTCACGAAAACACATGCATCTAGCTGACACACAAACACACACATTGTAGAGTGGCTGCCAGAATGCCACAAATGCCCAAAAATATTACATGTGGAGGCATTAACATATGTGATGGTATGATGCTGTCTATTCATTTATGAATGAAGTCAAGACGCTGAGATCCCACACACAGAATGCAAGGGGAACCCTGACAATTCATTTACATTCAAAACACTGTCTCCCATTGATGCAGATACAGTGACAACGCTCTCCCACACACTCTGACACACACACACACACAC